ACAGGCAAGCACTGACTTAGCCCACTCGCTACACAACTGTATGTAGGGGTTCTCCAACTAACTCCAGCAGGTTATCTCGACTCAAGAACACTTCAGAAGCGCTCAGAAACAGATTCAGAAACAGAACTTCAAACAGAACTGACACAGAACAGACTGAAACAGAACAGAACAGAACAGAACAGAACAGATCTCAGATTTCCACTTCAACACATTCTCCGAACAGACTTATCACACTTAACAGAACAGAAACAGTGTCACTGATTCGTATTCACTCTGACTAAGTTCTCAAAAGTCTTATCAAAAGGGTATCTCGTATTTCTCTGAGTGAGCTCGCTAATTCTATGCACAGCTCGAAGTCACAAACTGATCCTTTGTTACAGTACTGCCTTCAATGCGTGCATGGGAACTTGGGGGCTCGAAACTTGGCCTCTACCTACTGTAACCAGTCTACTTATACTACAGGGGAATTAGAATTACAAACGTCGCGCAGTACCCAGACTCCTACATGTGTAGCATGTTGCCACTGCCGCCTTACTGAGCATCTGAGTCGGACTTCCCAGTTTTAGTCTCATTTCTATAGTGAGCTCGCTAAACGTGTGCCAAGAGGTGCTCTCCTGACACCCGTGGGCTCATTCTCTAGCGACCGACAGGTCTAGGTGCACGGAACTATCAGTTCTGGCGTATGTCGTTCAGGCCTTCTTTCTTGGATTCACAGAGGCTTCTCGTAGACATGGCAACAAGTGAGTCTTCAAACAATGGGACTCAGAACAATGGAATGCGGGCTCGCAGACTTCGGCCGAAGCCCATTGCCCAAGCTCGTGCCGGTGATATCTGTCAGCTCACTTAAGGATTTCCCCGGATTTTCAGGTATGGCGCGTCACAGTTAGCGAGCGCGCTAAGTGTTCTCGGTGTCAGTGCAATCTTCAAGGTTTTATCTAGCTCCCGTGAGTGTGCTTGTAAGTTAGAGCCTAAGGCATTGGGTATAGGGTTTGGCCTTCTCATCACGCATGCCCATCAGGTACAGTGCTGTGACTAAGTCCTGTTTAGAATCCCGTTGCTTCTTATGCCATAAGTTATATTCCATATCATTGCACCACGTAGCCTTAGTGTCGATGCGTAGTTTTAGTCTGCTCGCTCACTATTTCTCAGTATGCGTGTAAAACACTCTAGATTGCAAAATTACACGCATAAATAGGCTGCAGTCGCAACAACGATATTAGCTCTGCACCCCAATCTGATCAGCCATCACTGCCTGCGAAGTGTACGTGCAAGGTATGTACATCATCATTTATGTATCATTTCGCAAACTCATCATATACACAGGTTGGGAAGCATAATCCGATTTATTATTTCTATGAAGAAGTCTCGCTTAATGCGGAGGGGAAACCTGGAAACAAGGGGGATAAGCACTTCAAGTGCTATCACGGTAGCCACAAAGTTCTGACAATCACCAAGGCCATGAAAGGAAGCTTGAATGGTACTCGCATCTTCTTTTGTCTGTGACAACGATCTGACATATTTTTTGAACAGGGCTTGTTGGTCATTTGAAGACATGCTCAGCACCCATGTACCGCATGTTTTTAGCATTACATGCCCATTTGGAAAAGACACCAAACGCTGCTATTCTCAAAGATGAAATTGAGATCACAAATGGCTCCAAGAAGTTGGATGCACAGGCAGCTGAGATATATCTCAAGCAGATGGAATCGGAGTCAGAGAATATTATCCACGCTTTTAAGAAGCAATCCATGGATGCTAAGGTTTGGTTATTTACTTTCAATCTTCCTGCTGCTAATACCATCGTTGTAGGGTGATTGGGACCAGGATAAATTCAAAAGACTCCTTGCGGAGTGGCTCATCACATGTGATCAGCCCTTCGAGGAGGTTGATAGGCCTGAGTTGTGTAACCTCCTGTCATATGCGCACCACCATTCACTTAATGACCTTCATATCCCACACCAAGATGCTATCCGAAGGCGGATTATGAAGATGGGTGAGGATAGCATTGAAGAGACCCAGAAGATGTTTGAGGTAATGCTTTCTGTTCTGTTATAGTTATGTTCCAGTATTCAATGGCACTAGGAACTGGAAGGAAAAGTCAGTATATCCCTTGATGCATGGACTTCAAGCAACAATATTGCATTCCTTGCCACTGTCGCTCATTATGTTACGAATGATGAAAATCATGGTGCATGTACCATGCGGGTTTTTTGATATGGTACTAACTATTTTATAGAAGATTTACTCATTGATTTCCATGAGTTAATAGGCAGTCACACTGGGGAGAATATGGCTGAAGCGGTTTGGGACACGCTCATGCTTTATGGTCTCCGTGATAAGGTAGGCTCTCATTCCTTTGTTGATTCATGGTATTCAGGATAACTTTAGGTTATCGCCTTCATGATGGATAATGCGATGAACAATGATACCCTTATCAAAGGGATTGAGCGCTGTTGTAGAAAGGAAGGTATTATATTTGATCAAAAGCTTTCATGCCTGTGGTGTATGCCTCACACTGTTCATCTTGCGGCCATCAAGGTAAGCTAGATCGAGCATGAAAGCCCCTTTTTCTAATGATATTTTGTGATCATCAGCTCCTGGAAGCTATCGGTGTGATCACAAAGAAGACTGTGAAAAAAGCAACAGGCCAAAGCTCGAACTATCAGGATGCAGCTATGGCACCTGTTGATCGAAGCCATGATAGCGAGGCAGCTCTCCAGGATGAGTACAAATCTGGTGGTGAGACAGATGAAGGTGGAGACCTCACATATTCTATGGGTGACTTGTCAGATGATGTCTTTTCATCTGTTGACAAGGTATGAGCTGGCATATTTGTTCTGTTACTAGATACGCAACTCTAATAATCATCAGCTTTGTCAAATTGTTTGTGCTGTTCGTTCCAGTCCTCAATGCAAGCAAGGCTGGCTTCATGAGGTTAAAATGGCCCTTGAACACCGGAATGAAACCACGGATGCTACAGAGCAAGTTCTTATGCTTATTCTCGACGTTGCAACCCACTGGTCATCAACTCATCAAATGATGCGTATGTGGTCACTAGGTTTCTACATGACTATTTATTAATATGCTCCAAGGCCATGCCATAGACTTCTGTGATGTTATTGATAATTACATCTCTCACATCTGTGAACTACGACATCTTGAGTTAAGCAAAGCTGATTGGAATGCCATTGAACTCGTTACTGGATGGCTCAAGACATTCTGTTTGGCAACAACTCAGATGTCTACTACAAAGGTATCAATGTTGTCTACAACACATGCTATCTTTCATGGGCTCCAGGATCATCTCAAGGACATGCTCTGATCTCTCCCTGACAATATCTCCCCTTGCCTTCGAGACGGAGTCATTGCAGCACACAATAAGTTGAGTGAATATTACTACAAGTACAATGAGTCCCCTCTCTATACGTGGGCAGCACGTAAGTACTCTGTTTCCAGTTTGCTGCATCTTTGACTAATATCTTCTTAGTCTTAGATCCACGGATCTCATACGAGGGAATGCACGATGATTACATGGGCGATCATCTGTTGGCAGACTACCTCGAGGATACGAAGCATGATCTGTATGATCACTACAATTCTCATTATGCTGGGCGAGTACCTTCATCCCATCAACCTGCCATCCCAACTCCTCCTACTGCTGCCTTATTAAACCCTCAAGGCTCCCCCCAGAATGTTGATTTCACCTCGAGATACTGGAAGAAGACCGCAGTTGTCGATGAACTCATGGCATACTTTAACCTTCCACATGAAGATTTTAGTTCCTGCAGTCCTGTCAAATGGTGGTTCAACAAGCGAGGCGAATTTCTGAACCTGTTCAACCTTGCACAGGATATTCTATCAATTCCTGGTATGTAAATTTTGCTTCTGGTTGACTATTTCTTAATGATGTTCTATTTACAGGATCTGCTGTTGCTGTAGAGCGTATCTTCTCTGGTGGTCAAGACACCATCTCCCTTAGACGTGCGAGTCTCAAGCCAGAGATAATTCGTGTTCTCATGCTTATGAAACAGCGTCTCCTGTCGTGAATGTTGTGCTATTAAAAAGGCTTTAAATGAGTAGGTTATGAGAATATACATATTTAAGTCTACATGTACGTTCGTAAATGGCTGTCGATGGCCATAAGGTATCCGTACCGATGCCGATGAAGCTTGAGATTTTAGTTGATGGTACGGTATACGGATGTTTCCGTAACTGACTGAGACTGTGACTTTATGGCTATATACCATGTATGGTACGGTGCACAGCCCTATCCATCAGACTTGTATTTTGGGGCCTTCTTCAGCTGCACCTCTCACAGGTGACTAACTCGGGCCAACCAAGTGCAAGAGAAACAGTTGGAAGAGAGATAAATTGCGACCCCGGCTTCTAACAACAGAAAAATTCATCAGCTTTACCATGCAAGGGAATACCAACTCATTTTTCCGTGGTTAAAATCATCAACAGCTCATATACTGTTCACTAGAGGGGAAGATAGACCAGAGCAAGTCCATGTTTTTGTCTTGGCAAGCCTAAGGTAGATGGTCAGATGACTCCTTTGACGTTTTTTGAGAGCTGAAACGTTCGCTTACTAGGACTGTCAGACTGTGTCGTTTTGAGGGATGTCTCTTATCACAACGTTCCCTTTGATCCTGAAGATCTGTGGCCTTTCATTAGTTCCAAAACATTCTGATTTTAACGAGTATGACCTGCTAGGCTTGACAAGTGTTTGTTACTGTAACCGATTTGGAGGACTGTTGCTGGAAGGAATCTGTATATGTCGGGCAGAGTTTGACTAGAACGGCGTCTTCGATGTATATCAGTCATGCTATACAGTGATGACAATGCCCCCAATGGTCTTGGATGCCAAGATCCTTTCAACCCTCACTATAAAAGCTGTCCTTTCTTCACTTTCATACCTTGCAGACTTCAGTCTTCATCTTCTTGAAAGCTGATCATTTCGATCCTCATATCTAACAACTTTATTTCTGATGTATTCTTCAATGATCCTCTTCTTCTCTGCTCTCTTCTTCGCTGTCATGCCCTTGTCTGTTCGGGGCTGGTGCCACCCAAACTTTGAGGGTGCTGCTCTCACTGTAGTCTGGAATAACACATGCTCATGGTCAGCTGAACCTGCTGTCGGCGCACCCATCAGTGCGAGCACTTTGCCCTCCAAGTTCTTCTTCCAGCAGAATGGGGATGATCCCGATATCACCTACACCATCAAGTACATGGTTTGATTTTTTGCTTTGCTGTTTGTCTGACAAAATTTTCATAGGACCGCAGCTAACATCAACTTTGCTGCTGAATCCAATGGTGAGAGATTGTTCATAGACAATGCTGACTGGTCAGGCAACAACGAGTATGTTCCCATCTCACCTCTTTACGTGTTTTTGTGATTGACTGACTCACTCGATATTCAGGAACCAGAAATGGAGAGTTTTATGTGGGTCGTGTGAGATGGACATCTCCCAGAAACAGGGCGTTGTTGCTTCGTACTGCCAAATCACTTCCAAAACTGATGACTTCTGCATCATGGAAGGATATGGCCCTGGCCCTTTGTATTTATATTATTGTATTGGCGGTGGGGGCCATTGGCCTTATCTGAATTCTGAATTCTTGGTTTGAACAATGACTGAAGAAGGGGGCATGCTGGAAGATTTGTTCTTTACCGATGTTTTTTTGATTCTTTTTCTTTTGTCTCTTGGAATTCTCCTGGAATTCTTTGGAACGGTCTTTTAATCATACAGTAATGACTTGCAGATATACTATAATCATCCGATTTGAATGCTAGATTGACTATGAGATGTACAGGAGGCAGCTGGTCCAGGTATTCACAGCATGTCGAGCTGATCTCTAATACTTATGTTCAAACAACTGCCTACTGCTCTGGGATTGCGTGAGGAATGGACATCCTTTTGTAGTTCCAGCTGTATCCAGTTCGAGACAGCGACATCAAATAATTTGGCAATCGTATGCTACAGTTCAATGTGTTGTCTTTGCATCATCCAAATTATGACATGCATGCTATGTACCCCAATTTAGTCATTGTTCCTGCAGATATTCTTTCCTGGAAGCCTGCGCAGAAGCAAATCCCATCTCAGACACTCAAAGAGGAATTCACTGCTCGGCATTTTCAAATTTAGGGTAACAGCTGTATCATTGAACAGAAATGTCTTATCAAGTCTGAAAGAACTTTGGGAGGTGACTCACAGCAGTGAATGGAGCGACTGTTGGTCTGTACAAATTTATTTGTGGATAGCGACTGAGCAGCAGGACATGGCGAGCGAGTCTCACAATGTAACTGGTACAGGTTCCTGCATAAGTTTAAATTGCACTGTGACATCTGATGTCTTACTGATACAGCAGATTGGGTATTACATTGATAATCCTGTCAAATATGCATATCATTTGAAGATATCCTGACCCCAATTATAGCATAGCAGGAAGATATCAGGAGGTACAACACCTGGTTTCAAGCTCGAGAGAAGGTTTAACAGATGGTGACTTCTAAATTGCATCAGAGGACTGCCATCCTTGCACCCACATTCTGACATTTTCTTGCACATGTCCCTTGGCCTGAGACTACCTTGCTGCCTGGCTACCAGCTGGCATAATGAGGCCTACAGTAGAAATGGCATTCAGAAAATGGCTAAGTGGAATAAAGCTGAGAAAGCATACACAGGATAGTACCCCAGAGGCCAGCGATGCAGTGGCAAGGCAAAAGCCACTTTGAACACTGACTCCTTAGTCCAACGCAAGCACAAATGCAAGTCTGAGTGGCCTCAGTGGCGATCCACCCAATCCTTGTCAACGAAATGGCCATAAACAAGATGTGCAAATTGCTCGATATAATCAAGGTAGGTCACAACTGCTTGTAAAGAACTGAGGACTGAGTGAATGATATCATGAATGTCATCAAGGAGGTCAATCCAAGTGGACCAACATCTGAAGATATGCTTTATAAACTGGAGGAAGGGTTCAAGTCCATATGGGCCATGTATGTCAGTGAGGAGTAGCGGCTCTATGTCTGTAAGATCCATTTCAATGGTGGGAAACAGGTCCTCTCTCACTTTCTGGCAATTATATAGGATGACATCATAATGTTTCTGAATATCTTTGGAAGCATCTTCATCCGGTTCAGGTTTTAAATAAAGTATTCCATGGCTAAGCTGTAAGCCAAAATGTCTGATGGCTGTCCGTGTCACTCTGTTGAAGTCACAGGCAAGCGAATGTGTATTTGTGAGAATGGGAAGGGTTGTCAATGGTGTGGCGTCTGCAATGTGCTGAACCAAGCTGTCTAGAGTGTCCAAGTGCAACATCTGGGACATATAGAGGGCAACTAGTACATTGGAGACTGAGGGTAGCATTGTCATCGTGGTGTCAGTGGTGGCTCTCCATGTCTCAGACCTACTTACTGGGTTTCTACAAAATAATGAGAATCGATCGAACTTTTTTTCACCTGCCCAATATAGTAATTCACAGGTACCGGTTTTCTTTTAACAGTGACTCGACACCAAGAGCAATGGTAATGATAGAATAAACAATTTAGAATTGATTCCCAAAGGAGTATACAATGTTTTGGTGTCATCAAGTCATGCAATGGAGCCTGCAGTCATAAAGAAAATACCACTGATTTGGGATTTGACAGACCAGATTAGTGGATTCATGAGGATTACAAACCAAAGGCCTTGGTGGTGATATCAGAGACTTTGATGGATAATTCGGAGGAATATAGCCAGTTGCATGTCAGGAAGGTATAATTCACAGTGCTTATGCATTTGGTGGAATCTAAGATGGGGAATTACTATACCTGGGCAGCCAAAAAAAAGTTTGATCAATTCTCATTATTTTGTAGAAACCCGGTAAAAGACCAAAAGACTGTGAGGGGACGTCATTGCACAATAAGCATTCGCTGTGGTGTGGTATTTCGACTGATCTGACAAAATGTTTATCTGTCATTATGATGAGATAAATCATGCATATATCCAAATCAACGATTGTATTAGCCAGAAAAATAGATAGACTGAAAGATGCATCAGACAGAGAGCATGGCGGAGATAACACATAGCACTCACATTCTACGGTACCAGAATTTGTATGCCAAATCTCCCAGCAAACATTTCTAATTCGATGACTGTTCAAGAGCACATAGAGAATAAGGATGGGTAGAATGATACTTGCAGTGCAAACATTTCTCTTTCGACCTGTCATAGTTCTGCTTTGGCCCCATTGTTCTGGAGGCAGATGAAGGTTATCTTTATTATATGGAAAACCTGGAAGTGAACACACCTGTATGAGCAACATGTCGGGCAACATAGCCAATATCCTGTACTTTTTTTCTATCCTCTATCACAGATATTCTCTCCAGGACTACTCCACCACCATTCACAGGTCTGGTGCAGACAGGTTGGTCTACAGTTTTGGTGCATCCTAGTCTAGTAGCAACTGCTCACTGTTTGAGGTCGAAAAACGCGTCGGGCAATGCATGTTGAAGAAATCTAAATGATACTATGGATATCGCTCTTGCCAATGATTGAGCAAAGAGACATACCTGAGCCAGTCATGGGATAACATGATATAGAAGACTCCATCGTGGTTGACTGATGGAAAGGCAAAACGAGACTCGGAAGTAGTATGGTGGTGGTGGTTGTAGACTTGGCCAGACAAACTCCGCTTCAACATCAGCCATGATGAACTCAGCGTCTTCCAATTCATCAATGACATTGAGGTCCATATTCTCAGTCTCAACATCATACCTACAAACTCCCCCAGTCAGCATGAAGAAGCCAGAATGCCTGATACAGCAGGTATATGCTCTTCTCTTACCACCACCATCAATCCTTGCCCATTCCTCATGCTCACCGCCTTTCTCAATCTTGTCATCAGTTTCGGAGCTTGGAGCCTGAGGGATGCTCAACATACACTGCAGTGTGACTGTTTCCCTTTCCAGTGATTGGTTGTTCGTCTGGGTAACGTTGTCTTTCTGCTGAAAAGGCACATCTAATTCAATTACCTGGCATTAGTATAGGTGCCTGCCTTTGGATCTAGTAATGACTTCAAAGCGCTGCTGGACTGAAACAAGCCTATCACCGGAATCACGTGCAACAGACTTCCTCAGTATGCTACCACTCTCTAAGGTGGACCAGTGTTCAGAGCTACTGCAGGCATTCCATCGCCACCAAGACCTTTTCAGAACACACATCTAGATCGATGTGAGTTACATCCAAACTTTTTCTCTGTTTAGAGCTAAGCAAGCTTTTAGCGAATGTGGTCCAGCCAAGTTTTATTCGACCTTCACTGCCCCTCCACCTGTGCTTAACCGCCTTTTTTGGGCTGAACTATGACCAGGAGGATGCTATATCTCGAGTATGCATCTGCCATCCTTCCAAATGGAGCATGTTATTATGAATCAAGCACCTGATACAAGGGTCTCGACATGCTGGGAAATAAGGTGCCAAATATCATCCCTCTCTTCTATGTAGTAATTAACACCATGTCGTACTAAGGAAAAACGGCAGATGTCGATGCCCATTCACTGCCATTCACCAATCAGAACTGCTCATTCTTTGCTGCCATGTGGCCCACCCTTGAAGTCAGCAGATGTTCAAGCTTGTACTTACTCGATTTTACATCAGATTTAACCGGCCTTCCGGCATCATTGTTTGCTTATTGGCAATGCTTCGTTGCTCAGTAGCGCACAATCTTGGCACAATCCGTACGCCCTGTTGCTGGATGAGATGATACTAAATGGGTTGTATACAACATTACTCTATGCTGAGTACTATATGACTAACATTCTTGTGTCCAGCATGAAGTTGTTAGCCTCGTCGTGATTTGGAACAGATATACTACTAAGCATCTTAATGTCATTCTCCCATTGCTGTCACTATAAATATCTACATCTGCGTAGGCTATCAGCATACAGTAGCATCAAGACTCCGATTTAATGTTGTTTCTTCCCATGTATTTGCGCTTGATCACATATAAAGCTGTGAGATATGCACAATTCTTTACTATCCACCCCAATGGCTCTCAGATCTTATGAACAATTCGTCACAGACCAAACTAAGCCAGTGCCTGCTGTTGTTACCACTGACTTGAGCAGGAAGACGATCATCCTTGCTGGTGCTAATGCTGGTTTAGGATTCGAGGCTGCAAAGCATTTCGCTAGGATGAACCCTGCACGATTGATATTGACCACAAGAGATGAAGCAAAGGGAAAGAAAGCCCTGGCCAGTATGCTCATCTGATTACCAGAGTACGAGCCCCACTAATCCTTGTCATTACAGAGATCCAAGCTAGCACTGGCTACACCAAGGCAGAGTTCTGGATCCTCAATCTTGCTAATTTTGGCAGCATTGTTGCATTCGCTGACAGGGCTGACCGGGAACTGGACCGACTGGATATCCTCGTGGAGAATGCTGGCATTGCAACATGGGAGTATGAGCAAGTGGAGGGCTGGGAGAAAACATACATGGCGTCTTCTTTTTTTAATAAATCAAGGCTCATCACCATTGCAGCATCCATACAAACAACCTCGGTCCCGGCTTACTTGCTATTCATATGATTCCCAAGATGCTCGAGACTGCTCACAAGCATTTGGTCAACCCGAGACTTGTCATCGTCGCTAGCGACATACACTATTGGACCACGATTGAAAAGGATGTCATCGCTTCCCTGGGCATCCTCACGAAGCTGTCAGACAGGGAGTATTCCACAGAGGAGTATGTCTCGATCCCTTACAAGCTGCCATTTGCATCACTGGCATATGAACAGGGTAATGAAGCACCGATATCATGATAGCAAATGTGCGTAACACATTGATTCCCCTTCATGTGTGTGAGCCTCATACCATGGCAGTGCTCAACGTTCTCTTTGCTCAAGCTCTGCAACTCCATGTGCCATCTTTCCCAGCTATCACTGTCAACTCTGTTACTCCTGGGCTCTGTTTCTCGAACATCAGATCTGGTGCCCCTGCCAAGGAGGCAGAACACTTGCAAAAGATACGAGAAGAACTGGGGTTTACTACTGAAGAGGGTAGTAGGCAGTTGGTGTATGCTGCTGTAGGCTCTCTGGATGACGAGGAGAAGCTTCGCAGAAAGTACATCAATAGGTCTGAGGTCGTGGAGGAGAGCGACTTTGTGATCAGCAAGGACGGGAAGATCATCCAGGATAAAGTTTGGGTGAGTGGCTCTTCATTGACCTATCTATGGAATGGGTTGTTAATCTGTTTGATTGAGGACGAGATGCTGAAGATCTTTGGAAAAATTGATCCCAAGGTTGTTGCGATATGCCGAAGTCATCTGTAGTCAATAGGTACAAACACGATCATGTAGCTCCGCTGTACTGTACAATTAAACTATCATCTGCATGTTTGTGTCTGTGTCTGAGCTTCTCTCTCTCTTTCTGTCTTTCTTCCTTCCCTCTGCCTTTTTCTAGCCTCGTTCCCTGCAACAAAGGTCTCAGAGGTGGCTAAAGCATATCTCATGAAAGATTGATATTCGCGTAGTTTGATGAGGATGTACAGTATATCATTGATGAATTGAGATGCACAGGGAGGAGCGGTTTATTCTCTGAAGGCTGACGAATCAGTAACTGTCCGTCTAGGTAATCTTGTCTTTCTGCTGAGTCAAAGTGTCTCAATCTATCACCAGGAAAACTTTCTCAAGTTGCCAAACATCATCACTTTATTCTATGCAGTTACTGATGCCATCTTGTACCAAGAAAGGGCGGAACACGTGCACATACTTATTTTTTCGCCGCTAACCAACTGGAACTGCTAGTTCTTTGCTGCTGCACAGTCCACCCATGAGGTCAGCAGATGTTCAAGTTTGCACTTTATTCTTTGCCAGATTTAACCATCATTCCAGAAGCATTATCTGGATTCTTTTGTTGCTCAACAGTGCACAATCTGCCATTCATCTGGGACAAGCAGGTGCAGATGAATTTAAAGGCATTGGCATCTGTTTGAGAGCAGGTTGACACAGAGTTCTGCCATATGGGAAAAGCTGACTGGAAGCGTAAAGAGCTAGGTAGGATCATTCCTTAATGTCTAGCTTGACACTGACTCCTATGCAGACCACACAGGACCTAGGATGCCCTCAACAACTACTGAGGAACTTCAAGAACACTAGGTTCATCTGCTCTCGCCACCTTTTTCTATCCAATTCTTCTCATAGATGTCACAGTCACCAGAAAGCAGTAGAGAGTTGATTCGAAATACGACAAGGGCGTGTATGGCAGCCCTGTACCCTCAAGCTCAACTTTTGAATAGCGACCCAAAAATGCCATCAACATGAGAGTCTTCTCACCCTCTGCCCTTGACAGGATGATCTCAGCAGACACCCATGTTTGTGTTAGCTGCCTATTGCATTCTTAAATCATTTTTGTATGTTGCATAAATAAACATTTCAGCTATCTAGATCCAGTCTTAAATTGTACCCAGGAACCATCCACGGAAGCAGATCTGCTATCTGGTCCCAAAGAGGCATTCACCGCTTGCTGATTTCAAACTATGGGCATGATTGTTTAACAAAAAAAGGAACACTCACCTTGACTTGCTCAACTTCTCTGACTCGACGATTTCATGTGATTCGATTTCTATTTTTGATTTTAGCACCGCTTTTTCCAACCAGGCCACAAAGGACTTACTGAAGAGGGGAAGATGGTCGCAGTGGAGAGACGATCATCTGCCTCGCATCCAATTCCTCATGTGGCTTTCGTGCTGCTGGAATTGGAGAAGACACAAGCTGCCCTCTGAATCCTTCTGGACACGCATCGAGACCGACAAGTCAGTCAACCAAGACATCATCCCCGTCGAGGTGAGCTTGCAAACATCCACTGACCAGGATTATCAGTGGTTAGCAGCATCGACCCACCATGTGCCAGCAGAACTAACACACGGACGCCTCTACAACTGTTCTTATGAAGACAGGCTATCCTGTCTCCCTCGGATCAGCTGCTGCATTGCCCGGCAATTATGGGAGTATTCATGGGATTTGTGTTCCCCAGTTTATTATGATGAACTTGTGTCCCAATGTTCAGAGTTTTGATTTCTTGCTAGCTCACTGGTACGATCTGAGACAGGCAAGATCGGCTTATGTAGAAGGCAGTGCAACATACTATTCAAAACAACATTCCTCAAATCAAAAGGATCCATAAATCCCACTTGTCGGACTGGGGCATGGCATTGATGATTGCGACGTCAATTAAGTTTGCCCATATTTCCTCCAAAACTGTACGTTCAGTCAGATTTGAACGTAGTGTGGACCTTCAAATTATTATTTGCAATGCAATGAGATCTATGCCATTAAGCCATGTAGATCTTGCACATGATGCCATCCTTTCCATGTCAATATCAAGTCACTGGGTGTTTGGGGTCACCGAAGCTGCAACAGTGATTTCCAGCACTATGCAAACAACGAATGAACAATAATGTGAAATTAGACGCAAAAACAAGTGTGATATGATTGTCTATGAAATGTTCATGAACTTCAGTCCTCGCTGCTGATAGCGAGGATCGAAAGTTGCAACTGGCGAAAAAAGGTCCATTACATTCTACAGATGTCAATGAGACCTACATCGCTAAGCCATAGGGACCTTGCAAAATTTCTGTTCTGTTTGTCATAATCATGAGTATAATAGCGTGCAAAAATTCACACCCACACAAGTGAGGTTTTTCCAGCCGCAAGTTGGTTATTAGTGCACAAGTTTGCTCGAATCTTACCCCAAGTTAAGGGACATTTGAAGCAAGTTTGCTGTTGTAAGGAGTCTGTGATTTGTTGTCCCACTGTGGTCCAGACAATTGATTATGGACTATGCACCATACGTATGTCAACTTTTTGGGAACGAATGCGATACCTACACTGTTCAGTGGGCCATATCATGAGCCATGGAACTCCATGAATTTTGGTTATCATACCTTGGTTTATTATTGGCTTGCAGAGCAATTGAATCCAGAGTTAACTGTCTGGACAAGGTTGAAAAACATTCCAGTTCAGAAATCAATTATCGCACAGAAGACATTCATACATACCTCAAATTCTAAATTCAAATCATTGAAGGCACTTTGCTACAGAGGATCAAACTTAGAGATCAAAATATTGAAGACAAATAAAAATCTGACTCCATCGTGTGAAATGGCGACAAAGAAATAGCTAAGGTAGGAGAAATCAAAACTTAATGCCCAAGGATTTTGGCCCACCATGGAAACAAAGGAAAACTCATGATATCTAATCACCGAAATCATGTCGGCCGGTCTAATCATTTCGTTTTGCTCTGAACCCGCCCCCAGATCTTATTCGGAGATCTATGGCAACAACTGATGATATGTATATCAGTATAGGAAAACACTTAACTTGTGGGAGGGGACACAAACTTGTGCACTTACAAGTAACTTGCGACTGGAAAAATATAACTTGCGTTCATCACATTTTTTGCACGCTATTATGCCCATACATAATATACTACAGATTCCCTTTCCTCTATGTTTCACTGCTTGGATCAATCTGAAGTTGCCTTCGAATTTCTGCTTGACGCTCGCTTGCTTACAACCAATCCAGGGAAGCAATAACAATTTCAACAACTTGGCCTTTGCATTATGCAAAGACATATAAAATGGAAGGCACAATAGCTAGCTATGTGCTCGGAGTATTTTCTTAATGCTTGCAACTGGCGCATTTGCACTCGGCACCCTGGCAAGAACAGCTACATTCGACACATGTTAACAATCAAGATAACAAACCCTGAAAGGTTTACTCACAAAGAACAGCTGCAGGCAGCAGTACCACAGGTCTGAGATATGGGGGTTTGAGCAGTCTACACAAATGTGAGCTCATCAGTATGGAGGTATCAATGAGAAGACAGATGCGTACGAATTGCATGTTGATTTGAAATGGGGGTTATCGACACGGACTTTTCGATAACATCCACAGAAATCCTGGGGCCTTTTATACCAGCCCTTGCACATTTTCGGCTGTAGAAGGAGACGGACCTCGAACCGCTGTTCCTTGAAGCCACATGCTTCCCCACCGAGGCGGTACTTTCAGACCCACAGATGTAACATCACCTTCCTTCTCAGCAGCCCTTTCCCCTCACTTCTACTTGTTGTTCACTTGTCTCCTGCATCCCTTGTGAGAATTCTTGGTCGAAGATGAGGATTTCAGACCCACAATACCCTGCATTTACTCGAAGGTGTTTGCACCCGTTAACACCACTGCATCGATATGGCTGATGGTCTTGATTATTGTCATCTAGACATCGGAGAGATGGGGCCTGGCATCCGTGGTGGAGCCGTTTGCCTGTCTGGCTTTGACTATCTAGAATTGGACTCAGCGATTGGGTTAAGAACAATTGGAGATATGCTCTTGGCTCACCATATTAATCGAGGTGACACCAACGTTCCTCAGGATCGCATTGTCTCAGTGACATATTCTTCGGTCTGGTCTTGCATAGTTTTGCTCGAGGTGTCCTCCACAACCTCATGGGTGCGAACGTTTTACTTCATAATGCTGTCAGGAATGTTGCACTCTCTTAACGCTGTGCACAGAGAATCGCTTCGAACCTCAGTTGTGGATTCCACAAAGGAGTCTCTAGAAGTGACGTGAGCTTGAGAAAGACTCGGATGACAAAATAAGATGGACACATTCTTCGACAATAGTTTATCCAAAAAAAGAAGTGGCCCTCGCAGGCATGGACGAGCTCATCCCTATATTACACTGCCCTGATGAATCATTACCTGTTGCCGGGTTCATCATGGATGAGCAAGTAGCTGGAACCGGCCGGAATTTCTTCCAACCGAAATGTTGCATCTCACCAAAGCCAATGTGACACCCCTGTATCCCATGGCCATCTAGGATATGGCGATTTCCAAAGGATGGCCACCAAGGGAACATGGGCCATTGTTTTTACCTAATATCTCTGGGTAGGCACCTCAACAGTCTTGTTTTTTTGATAGGCAGCTGGGATGAACTGAGACAAGCACAAATCAGTCGACTGTTGTACATCGGTAGACATTCACGAACACGAAAAAGATGAGAGCATGCTACGGCTTACACAGTCACCAAAGACTAGTGTATTATTTTCTCATAGGTGGGTAGCTTTCTACTCTTTTGAGATGTAGGTGAGAGGATGATCAGAGTGAGAGATTCGGATAACCGAGGTCAACTCATGAATCGAAGCTGGGTTCCTTTCAAGCTGCCTATTGCCTAATATCAAGGACTTTGTTAACTAGAGACGTAAAGAATGTGGACGAACGCACTCAGGGACCATTGCTCGACATTAACTTCAGTCTAGGAATCATCAGATTTCCGTTTTCTAGTGATATAAACTTTGAGTGCTGGCGCATCCTGGACAGAAGCTGTAGGAATAGAAAGAACAGACATTGGCAGTTAGATGGGTTAAGAAGACAGCAGCGCATCTCGAGAAGACTGAGTCAGCTTAGTTTGCTGCTTGGAAGGTCTTTTTTAAATCAAGTCTTGTGAGAGGGTGACCTAGGAATGGTGCATCAGTGACAGGCAATGCAGTAGATGGTGATTCACTCGAGTTATATCATGCTAATCAAGTAGAGCATCCCTACCTTTATGCTGAATCTCCTCCAATGTTAAAGGTCATTATTTCATAAGCAGTTCGCAATCGGGAACCTGCCTACAATTGGAAAATCAGGTCGGCAGTTCGTCTTTCTCATTCCAACACTCACCATCATCTTTTTACGACCACCTTCACCCGTTCTTTGATTTTCGTCTATGGTGACCTCCAGCAGTACCATCATTGAGGACGCAATTGCAGCCATTGCCCGCTTTGTTGCTCTTCCTGAATCAGAAAAGACACTCGAGGGTGCAAGAAAGGTCATGGCGATGGTGGATGAGGCCAACCAGGCATTATCCCAATCTTCCGAGGCAATTCTTAGTGACCTGCAAACGGCAATATCAAAGAACGAACAGACAAAGGAGGCACTGAAGGACCAGCTCGCAGAGATCAAGGGCGGGGTCATTCATCTCACTCGTCGAAGTGACGGTGCGCTGCAGTTCCAGGACTATATCAACAATACTGGTGGGTATCCAAATACCAGGACCTGCCTTGTCTGATACCCCTTCAGAGGATGACCAAGCAGCGGAACAGTCTCACAAAAAGCAGGCACTCACCCAAGAACTGCAGCCAGAAAACATAAAAGTATGGATGTTCCTTCATCTTGATAACCCTAGTACTCAACCCTTTATTCAGGAAGTGCAAGATCATTGCCGAAAGGAGCATCTGGGCCAGGGCGGTAAGAGGGATAAGGTACCGCATTCTTCTATCATTGGTAGTGGTGTTTAGGTCATGTCGGGGTGGTCTTCAAGGGGTTCTGTTTGTCGAGTGGCACAAATGAAATGTAATTTTATCAGTTTGGACACATATATCCGGGCAAAGTGATTGTTTAGGTGTAGAAATACAACATAGTCTATGTTTTCTTTGGATTAGAATGGGATAAGAGGATAGATAGATATTAGAAATGCTTACAATGTACAACATTCCATCGAGAAAATACAAGAGCTGAGGGTATACAAATCGAGTCATCATCTCTACATGCAAGGATCAGCAAATGAAATCAATGGCAAAATATGAATGGAACGGACAGGCTGAACTGGATATCATCATTGTGGTGGTCCCACATGCCTCATATTCTTGAAAAGCTTAAAGACCTCTTCTGATCACTGACTGAGAGTTACTTGGCCTTCTCCTAGGAAAAAATTAATACTCGAGGGCGTGAAAAGGGACTAATCATACCTTGGTCAGCAAGATACTGGAGGTGGAGTGTGCTGAGAAGCTCAAGCTGATGGTCCTTCACTTTCTCGTAGTCCTCTTTCAACTATGCATGCTTCCTTCTCTCCTCCTTCACTGTGTACATCGCATCTTTATGGGCATACATCAAACAAGAGCTTCGCATTCGGTCGATGTCTGGTGATAACAGTGTCTGGGTTGCAGTTTGAAGTCTGTCAAATGCATTTGATGAAGATTTCACATCCATTGCTGAAGGGGGTAGCACCGAGAGAAGTGATGAGAATAAAGAAGTGACAAGCGAGGATGTAGTTCTGATCAAGGACAGTAGGTTACATAAGTCATTTTGACCTTGACCAACCTTGACCCTTGGATATCTCGAACTTTTCGGAATGAGTACATTTCAAAATATTGCCTTCAAGGCAAATTTATATAAACTACTGATTGAATATCTTCTAGAGAAAATACTCAAGATTGAGATAGGAATGCCTTCACATCAGCTTCTTGGCAAACGTCCTAGTACAGTCGCGACGGTTACCTGTCTGGCCATGAAGAGTCTGAGGACATCGCACCATAATATTTTAATGCTAGCAAATTTCACTCAGCTTTGCGCTCCTGTTGCCCTGTCACAGTTGGCTATCCTATAGTCATGGTATTGTCTGGGCACCTGATGAGTTCTGTTCATTTAGGTGTACTGGCCTGTTTTAAGCACTGCAGGCTACCGATCGTCAGGTCATCTCATAATATGGCATCCTGTACTAATGTGATGTCATGCCTAGTTCATCTCTGACCTGAACCACCACCACCGCTATCTCTCACTATCATGCCCTCTGCTGCTACCTACTTCATTATGAATTTTCTCAAGCCCAATGCCAATCAGTACAAAAGGATATGTCATGACCTTCACTGGCAGGAGAAAGTGGTGAAGGATATCGAAGGCCTCCAAGCGGAGATCACCGTGCTTCACGAGAGGCACAATAACGCGATGAAGAGAGCTACTAATCATGAAGCCAACATCAGTGAGCACATCATTTCCCTGCCTTGTATCGATGGTTCACATAACATCTCCATAGCTGAGCATGCCATGAAGAAACGGAGAAGATTGACCCTGACCTCTGATAGCAAGGGAAACAGCCGGGGTACATCTCTTATTGTCATTTCTTCTCCTGCCCTTCGTCTAATATGGTGTAGTCTCTGCGCGAGTCAAGAAAAATCGATGACAGGCCATCTTTGTACCACATTCGGTTGCTGAGGCCCTTCAGTTGCCTGAGAATGTATTGAGCTCTGTTCCAAACGCCAGAGAAGCCTGATCCTGTATGTCCCCTTTCATCTTGGTACATCAAGGGCTCAATGATCATGCCACAATGATAGGTTTTTCTGTTTGTACAGTCTATACCCAGCTAGTATTTCTGACATGTCATGATTGTATCTTAGTCCATTTTATCTACCTTCTCCTGAACTGGTCTGTAAGCTTAGATCGGAATCAAAACCCAGAATTGAAAATTAAGTTGGTTACACATGTACAACAGCGGTGGGTCTTGCCGCTGTGATAGCATGGAGAGAGCGTGTACCCATCGGCTTATATTCTTTATGCCACACATATGCTGCTGAGGTCTTGAGAATTAAGAATAATAAATGCTGCTCACTCCTTGTTTTTAGATAGACATACTCTTTTGGTACAACACTGGTAGTGTCGCTCGATGCCCAAGGGCTTGAAAGATCTCGTTCTGCCTGCATGTAGGTTCACAGAGCTTGAACCAATGTCAAGTCACCGAGTGTCTGAACCATATATAACAGATAACTCGCTACATGGCCATGTATTTCTCAATGTAAGTGTGCTACTGAGGTAGTGTCAGTGATAAGTATACACTGAAACAATGAACAGTTGCTCACCATAGTCCCTGATGCAAAATAACCTCGAACATGCAAGCACTCGGGATTCGACATTTTATTTGAACATTGGGCCTTGAATCTCCTTCTACACTGTGCATATGATGAGATCGTGGTCAGTCTATAATGGACAGGACTTGCCTATCATTAAGGAAGAAGGTGGCAGTGGTGGTGTTACTGGTGCCAGGTCCCAATAAGGAACGGCCAGGGTGTCCATTGCTCGGCACATTAGACAACTGCCATGGACAACTTCAACATCATCAAGACCATACATCGAGAAGAATGGATTAGTATTTCCCATCGGGACACATAGCCCTGATTAGCGAATAATCTTCGACATTCGTTGCACCCCATTTTATTATCAACAAGGATAACAGCATGCACAATGCACCTTGACCAGTACCTTTCAACTGCAGTATGTAGATTTTCCACAGTGAATCACTCCATGAAAACGGAGAGATACAATTGAATGTTTCCAGTGAATGGAGTTTAGAGTTTAGAAAATAGGATTATTCTCAGTTATGCGTCGAAATGCGTCGACACACCCATGCAGCCTGACCAGACAGAGTGGTAAGCACATAGGTATTATGTGAACATCTACAGACCAGTCAGATGAGTACCTTGAGTAATGTCATGAAAACTGCACCTCGTTTGAGCGGCTGATGAATGACGAAAGAGGTGCAGGTTCTTCTTGAGTTTTGGGAATTAGGATCAGTAGAGAAATTTGTCCTTGGACAGGTCAACTAGGATGCCATTGCACGACCGCTACCTGTACTCGGCCATACCATGTAATATGTGAGCTGGTACTTACAGGTTAGAAAGTGACACTGCGATCCACCATCACGGTTACCAACATCGGGCCCAAAACATTGTTGCTGAGGTTAAAGCAGAGTTTGATGCCCTTCTCATTGTCACCATCACCATCAACCACGATTATCAACTGATGAGAAGTTGCTACTATTGTCATGACATTCCTTGGATGCGAAGGGCACTGATGGGATACTAGGATGGACTGGATGGAGGTTCTGAGGAGTACTGAATCATGAGTTCATACATGCCCATATCTCCCTAGGCTAATACGCATCTTCGTAGATGCTCAACAGTAATGTCTGTGATCCTTGGATGTTGCTACAATGTCGACATCATTTCTGACAAAGAGCTGCCATGGTGACCATCCTGGCCTCGAAGGGCTCATCGGCCAAGCAGCGAGGACAGCCAGTGCCCAACATCTTCTATCATCTTGGCGAGCACTGAGCAGAAAGCTGGACAGTGTACAATACAGCTTCATTCTGGCCCTACCAGGATGGGATCACTATAAAAGGTTGACACGTCCAATCTCTCTTGACCATGAACCACCACCATCTACACTACTATCAACACGATACCATGATGCCTTTCTCTCTCACACCTATGTCCACTCCCACAATGGCTGAAGAGCTCATGCTCATCTTCAGGCAGATAGAAGGCCTCGACATTGTGATTCGCTGCCATCAAGGAAGACCAAGAGCATTTCAAGCGCGATACCTATGCATACGAGAAGACGAATGAGTACATAATGTGTATGCTTGCATTGTCATTCTACATCTCTGTATATGCTACTAAGTGACTTCTCAGCATTGCTCTCACCTGAGTATATGCCCCCAAATATTGCAGCTTCCATGAAGCCCGCTCGATCTGTCCAGTCTGCTGGAGGTGTGCCAAGTTTTTTATCTATCTCACATAGTGCTAAGACTATCTATCGTAAAGCATCGGCTGCATGCAAGATCAAGACAGTGTTGACCAAGAAGCACAAGGCCAATTCAGAGCCACTGCCCAGCAGTATTTTGAGGTTGCCTGGTTCATCTTTTGGTACTAAATCAAGTTTTTTATCATAGGTTCTTCAGTGTCGAATGCAAAACATTCATATTCTCAGCATGACATGTCATATGGTAAGTGTACCCATTTCCTACTATCGCTTGTCCTGATCGTGATTCTCTTAGCCATGATGAAAATGAGGAATCCTTCAAAACCTTCGCTCACAGAGGGTGCCAAGCTGATCCAGCCTCAGTCGAGGACATAAATGGTTTTTGTTATGATATGTGTTTTGTACCAAATCCATATGGAATATACTACGATTGTTTAGCCCACGACGAGTACATTCTCTTTGGACTAGACTAACTGTCTTGTTGCTGATATTTGTGTTTGGAATATTCATCTGCTTGTAAGAATGTCTTGGCTGACACAAAATCGATGCAGAAAAGTGATATCGAGACAGGCATAAAGGTGTGCACAATGCTTAAATACATGAATAACACGTACAACTCGGATTACATCATAGGTAACACTCCTCTCCTTCCTACCTCCACCTATCAGCTTGCGCAATGAGGGTCTCCCCATCCAAGCATTCAGTCTATGCCAGGAATTGGGAACAATGGTCTGAAAATGCCCAGCAATCTGGCTACTTCCCTTTCCTGCAGTTATCTCCTGAATTACTTGTGGAAGTATGCCCTTTGCTCTTTCCATATGCATAGTTAACTGGTTGCAGATTTTTGCATGGTGCTTGCCGCAGGACCTTGTTATTCTTCAAGGCGTCTCAAGACAGTTTAAAGCAATATTGGACCGTAATGGATACCTCTGTTGGACGTGTGCAAGGAACAATCTCCTCAGGATGCCGGCACCCACCTCTTTTGCCCCACTATTCCTGCCGGAATGCATGCGAGGCGTCTTTCACTGACTTTTTCTTCAACTCTGGAGATGTGCCATGCTTCACCAGTGCACATAGTCATCATTCAGTGAGCAATAGCTCACACAGAATCACTTTCAGTGCTGTGGCCATTCTGTCGATGGTTCTTTTCCTGATCTGACATACAGAATACGTCTCTGCACCTGTGTGTGTTTACATTAGAGCATTATCGTTGATTATCACTGAATGGATTTCCAGTGAACCTGCCAAGAAAGTCACCTTCTCACATGCATTGAGCATTTTCTGTTCTCCTCCTGGCTTCTTTCCTCACCACCTGTGTTCTTAGAGTAAACCAGTACTACCTGTTTATGAACAATCCACAAGATCCACTCTATCACAAGTACGAGCCAATAATTCCACTACTCTCGTTTGTAATCTCCCCCGAGAAGACAAAACTTTTCCTGGTGAGACAGGCAAAAAAGGAGTTGGCTTGGTATCAGCATCACCAGATCGCCGGGAACGAAGCATTGCTCCAAGAGGTGATGATTCCTATGTATACCTTCTCCCTGCTCACTGGTGCTAAGGCATACTAGAGAATGGTGGAAAAGAGCCAGCTTCGACATATCCTTGCAGAGGTACGTTCTGTTCCTTTTTGATCTCTTGTAGTACCATGTCTGCTTTTGTTCTAGCATGCAGGACATATGCTGAAGTGGTCAGCTGGGTATGCCCATGCGCTTGCAGTTATGGATCAGAAAAACCGAGCATTGTATGTGCACATAATCGTTTCATCCGCTTTGTCATGCTCATTGACCGTTCTAGCTTGAAGTCTACAATGAAAACTGAGGATGTCAAGTATACGCTCATTCTTTCCACTCCCACAATACACTGGACCCTGGATGTATTCAATCTGCGCCTGACATTCTTAACAACAACAGGCATGTGGCCATCCAGTGTACACCATATGTATTGCTTTCTCACTATCACATTCCTACCAGTCTGAACAGAAATCAAGAGCCGAGTTCTTGAGGAGTACAAGGAACAATGCTCATTGATGCTCACTGTATGAAGGCATGAATATGGGCAGGTCAACAAGTTAGCAGGTCTTTCTTCCATTTTATTATTCCTTTCTGAAAATTTCACATAGAGCTACTGAGTCGTCGAGGGTGTAGACGTTTCTATGTGTGAGTTACCCGAAGCAGAAGTTCAAAGCTTAAGGTTGACAGGATGAATTAGGATTTCAGCTTTTATATCATAAACATTTTCCAACTATCAACCAGCACCGGTAGCTGCCAATTCATCTTCATCTACACCACTATCACCTATGCTACACATGCTATGCAAGGATACCCTGCTAAAGTAGTGCTGTATGGCACATTAGATTTGTATGACCACAAACATCTAGGATCCACATCTGCTGAGATAGCCCACCCTGAGCAGAATTGCGCATGATAAAAATGTCTCAGATTATCTCCCAGCCAGTCAACCAAAAAACAAAACTAGTAGCACTCAGTTGCAAGCGAGCAGGTATGTGCTGTGGGCGGAGTCCTCCTGGGGGCCACCTTGTGGAGTTGCCATATTCTATCCTATAGAATGTGGGGGTGGATGCACTAGCTTTGGTGTTGTGCAACATTTCAATCGGGAACGAGATCCTTCGGGAAGGACTTGATTGGCTCCTTCATTCTGCTGTGTTCATCAAGTGACCATAATACCTGGGAACAGATGAGTGAAGCAGTGTACCGGGGTGTAACCTCAGGGAGGCCAGGGAAGCTCATACTTTTAAATGATTGTATAGGAATTTCTTTTTATGATATGTCGAGCTCTATCTCGCCTTTGCTCAAATAATTAATTGGTGTTTTGTAATTGCGTGCTGGATCCTCAGGCTGGTCTGAGTCGGCTGCGAACCATAATGCTACATAATGGAAGACATCCACACGAGTCATGACCTGTGGGAGTTTATTCATCCTCCCTGTCAACCCATATCGCCTGGCTCTGTATCTGAATGACCCTACAAGTATTTCTTGGGTCATCCTTCCACACTATTTATGTCTCGAAGAATTTAAAACCCTGGCACTGGGGAAAAATGAACACAAGCAATCTCTCATAGAGCATTATTACCACAGGTGTGATCACCCTTTTCAGAGACAAGATGTATCTCCAGATTGTTTGTCTGTCATAGAAATAGCAAGATAGATGTCAACATCTCATAGAGAATTTCCTATCCGACAATTCAAAAGTATGAGCTTCCCTGGCCTCCCTGAGGTTACACCCCGGTACACTGCTTCACTCATCTGTTCCCAGGTATTATGGTCACTTGATGAACACAGCAGAATGAAGGAGCCAATCAAGTCCTTCCCGAAGGATCTCATTCCCGATTGAAATGTTGCACAACACCAAAGCTAGTGCATCCACCCCCACATTCTATAGGATAGAATATGGCAACTCCACAAGGTGGCCCCCAGGAGGACTCCGCCCACAGCACATACCTGCTCGCTTGCAACTGAGTGCTACTAGTTTTGTTTTTTGGTTGACTGGCTGGGAGACAATCTGAGACATCGATCTCAGCCTGTGGCAGTTTGCCTCCAATATTCTGTTGCTATCCTCCGAGTACATTGTATCGTTGACCTTGAATTTTATATAGAAGGTGTTGAATACTTGTGGGATTTGCCTCCGAGCATAGTTCCGAGTCCTATGAATATAGGATACTCAGTTATTATGGTGTCATGAAACCCCATGGGAAATTCTATTTGTGGAATCAGTGATGGTGGCATTTGCTGTCCCATCCCATTTCTTTCTCTGTGAGTCTCTCATGGGAATAATTCTATTCATGGATGGCTATTCCTGTTTTTTTTCATGCTCCACAGTTTGCTCTTGTGCCATGTCACATTTCCCCTAGCCTGCTTCCTGTTCTTGTTTGTTTTCCATCATTTATATTCCGTATCCTCTTTAATTGATGTGTCTGTCTTGATTGATCTTATGTCTGGCCTTGTCCTTCTTGCTTGTCTCATTTCACTCCCGGTCTCTTCATCGTGCACTTTTCTTAATTCGGAATTCATGTTTCTCATTCGTACATATATCTGTGTATCATGTCGACATCATGATCTCTTCCTCCTCCTCCATTTCCATCCTATTAAACATTTTTGCTGCGGTCTGTATGTCATCTTCCTCATCTTCAAAACCTATCTTCCTCTTCATTTTCACCACTGACTGTGACGGTGTATTAGCCGTGTTCCTTCTTTCTGCATTCGCCTTCTGTGACTTTTTCAGCAACGTTTGACATACACGTTGAAGTGCTCACTGATGAATGGTCTGAGTTTGCGAGCGCTATGGCTCTCAATATCAATTTGGTCTTTGTGACACCATTGTTGGTCTTCATGAACACCATAGAGCACTGGGCTTCCACAATATCACCTATTCTGAGCATTTGGGGCTTCACCATCATGTATCTGCATTCACAAGGTATGGTTGGCTCCATTCTGAGCACATATGTGTTGATCTCGCTTACCTTTTCTTGCCTGCTTCGTCTATCAGACCCCTGAAGTATCCCACCTCGTTGTCCTCAGTGTGCACCCATTTTTGTTGCGCTATCTTGGCTAGAATTCCCATCGGGTCGATGTCAGGTGAAAAGGGTATGTCCTCCTTGTTCGAGTTGTTCCAAGGTCTGAAGTATCGGTTCGACAGCTCCACCATGTCCAGATCCTTTACCTTTGTCGGCTTCCATTCTTCCATCTCGCCCTCCTTGAACTCTCTCTCCCATCATTTGCAGACTCTTTATAGCAGATATGGCCTTGTCATACCCCTTGCTCCCGAGACCTATGAGTTGTATCGTTGTTGCGACTGCAGCCTATTTACGCGTGTAATTTTGCAATGTAGAGTGTTTTACACGCATACTGAGAAATAGTGAGCGAGCGGACTAAAACTACGCGTCGACACTAATGCTACGCGGTGCAATGATATGGAATATAACTTATGGCATAAGAAGCAATGGGATTCTAAACAGGACTTAATCACAGCACTGTACCTGACGGGCATGTGTGATGAGAAGGCCAAACCATATACCCAATGCCTTAGGCTCTAACTTACAAGCACACTCACGGGAGCTAGATAAAACCTTGAAGATTGCACTGACACCTGAGAACACTTAGCGCACTCGCTAACTGTGACGCGCCATACCTGAAAATCCAGGGAAATCCTTAAGTGAGCTGACAGATATCACCGGCACGAGCTTGGGCAATGGGCTTCGGCCGAAGTCTGCGAGCCCGCGTTCCATTGTTCTGAGTCCCATTGTTTGAAGACTCACTTGTTGCCATGTCTACGAGAAGCCTCTGTGAATCCAAGAAAGAAGGCCTGAACGACATACGCCAGAACTGATAGTTCCGTGCACCTAGACCTGTCGGTCGCTAGAGAATGAGCCCACGGGTGTCAGGAGAGCACCTCTTGGCACACGTTTAGCGAGCTCACTATAGAAATGAGACTAAAACTGGGAAGTCCGACTCAGATGCTCAGTAAGGCGGCGGTGGCAACGTGCTACACATGTAGGAGTCTGGGTACTGCGCGACGTTTGTAATTCTAATTCCCCTGTAGTATAAGTAGACTGGTTACAGTAGGTAGAGGCCAAGTTTCGAGCCCCCAAGTTCCCATGCACGCGTTGAAGGCGGTACTGTAACAAAGGATCAGTTTGTGACTTCGAGCTGTGCATAGAATTAGCGAGCTCACTCAGAGAAATACGAGATACCCTTTTGATAAGACTTTTGAGAACTTAGTCAGAGTGAATACGAATCAGTGACACTGTTTCTGTTCTGTTAAGTGTGATAAGTCTGTTCGGAGAATGTGTTGAAGTGGAAATCTGAGATCTGTTCTGTTCTGTTCTGTTCTGTTCTGTTTCAGTCTGTTCCGTGTCAGTTCTGTTCGAAGTTCCGTTTCTGAATCTGTTTTCCGAGTGCTTCTGAAGTGTTCTTGAGTCGAGATAACCTGCTGGAGTTAGTTGGAGAACCCCTACATACAGTTGTGTAGCGAGCAGGCTAAGTCAGTGCTTGCCTGTGGTGTTCTTTTAGTGAGCTCACTAAAGTTTCGGCATGTATTGCCTCTGTTTCTGTTGGGATCAGTGTCCCTTGTGTATTATAACTCAAATCTGCCTTGAAGGTTGCGTCACGCCAGTGAACGACCTTCCTGTAAAAAGTTCCTAGACTTAGGAATTCATTAGAGAAAGCTTAGCTTCGCTAAGAGCGCTGAGAATAAGAGAAACTCTTCAAGATATTGAAGTATAGTTGGATCGCATTAGGAATAATCGCTCCCCCTAGAACTTACGAGGGTGATTGTAGTTTGTGTAGTTGTGTGAGTGTGTGTGTGGGTTTTTGAGGTTCGCCTTTTAGCCCACTCACTATTCCACAGGTGCCCACAGCCAGCCTCTTCATTTGGAGCCCACCACGAGGGGGAGTTTCAACTGTGAATTAACCTTACTTCAAGTTTCGTGGAGAATCTTTACACTTTGGTGTAACTAGCTACTAAGCTTATCGAAGATTTCCTTCTCAAGGAGCAAATCCGTTGGTCCTTCTAACCCAAGGACTGCCGATAACCAAGGTAACCCCTCACAGAGAAAACCATCGTCCCATAAACCAGGACAACCAGGACCTTCTCTAAGTCGGGACCCTGTAACTAGAGCACAGAAATCAGCGAGCGGACTAACTGTTCCACCCCTCTTCCCATTCCAGCCCGTGGAACAGGTACCCAAGAGAGGAAGAACCGGTCAAGCTGGCCCATCACAGCGAGTGCCCTCAGCACGCGCAGAGAATATCCCTGCTCCAGTAACAGCTACTCGTCGTAGAGCTTGTAGTTCTAGTATTCCCAGACCTTACGGTACGATTAGAGCTCCACCGAGCTCGCACCAAAATCACAACCTGAATTTAATTATTCCCCCCTTTCGTACTGCAGTCACTATGGCTCAGTCTATGCCCGGCCCGAATGAAAAGGCCGTGCCCGTTTTTGATAGCTTGACAGATCCTGAAGAGCTTGAGAGATTCTTTGAACGCTTGGAAGATTTATTTTCCAAGTGTGCCGTTACCGATGATAAAGAAAAGAAGCGTTATGCGACCGTATACACTGATATCAAGACCGCCAAGCAATGGAAGGTCATTGATCACTATGAAAACAGGACGTACGATGATTTCAAAAAAGAGGTCATGGGTAGCTACGATGGCGCACTTGCTGGGGACCGAGATGCTGTGCAGGAACTAAAGCAATTGGTCCGAAGATATAATCTTTCACCCATTCGAGAAAAATCCGACTTTATGTCGTTTAAAAGAGAGTTCCAAGTACTGGCAGCTACGCTTACAAAAGATAAAGTACTGTCAAATAGAGAGCTCGTCGACCACTTCCTTACGCCGATGTCGGAGGAACTGTACCAGTCAATCAAAATTAGGTTGGAACGGTTGCCTCAACTGGCAGGGAAAACT